GGTAGACTAGCATATGCCTCAGTACTTCTGTGCTACAAGGGTATAGGTTGTAGCCATGTCAGTCTAAGGACATAGACAGATAAGGTTCTTTGGGTAAATCTGATAGCTTGTGTTAGACTAACTCAAAATAGCTGGAAAAATTCTTCCTTGCAAGCTTTTGGGCACAAACACCCTTCGTCAGGCTGAGGAAGCATCTACAATGAACCTAACCTGGCAAAATTACCTCATGGTAGCCATTAGCTGTTAGGGGAACTTAAAGCAGTGCTAAGAAAAAAGCCATCCCTGCCCTTCTTTGCTCCAATGAGTATGACTGGGCCCATACTAATGACTCGGGTCATAGTAACTATGTATAGTGTTACTTTAGATTTCTGTTATTATAAATCCTTTCTAACTGCAAATATCACTAAAACTGTAAGGGGAATGGAGCTGGGTTCACAAAAAGGTTTTACTAGTACCTTTATTGTTATTTCTGGTGTAGCAGATATAGTATAGTCTCCAAATACAACCAGGGCTCATTGCGTGCTGTATAAACTTAAATGAACCTTGCCTGGTTGAATTAATAAACTAAATTGAGACTGAACATAAAAAGTGAGCCTGGTAATCAAAGAGGATGGGAGGAAATGAAAGCAATGATATATGAACACATGGTAATGTAAAGATCTATTGCACAAGCTTAAGGTACCGATTTAAAAAAAAGAAAAGAATCAGGCAGCTAGTACCACCTTATATACACCCAAGCCATCAATAAACAAGTTGCTTTTATGAAAAACATTGTATAACTTCTAAACTTGTTAACTAAAAGGGAAATTCAATTTTAGTGGATTCTTTCAAGATCTGGGATAGTTTAAAGGATTTACAAGGCATTTATACATTAATTCATGTATTATAGGTATTTTAGTATATCATAGTTTCTAAAATTCAACTATATTGTATAGCTACAATTTCTTCCTCCCACACACTTGAAAATTAGGTCAACTTCAAGCTGTTTGCAAAAATTCCTGCATGGTAAAGGCATCTGTGATCTGAACACATCTGCAGTTTAGGATAAGCAAAGTCAGCTGATATGCGTCATAAATTTTACAAAACTGCAATATACTTCCTCTATAATGAACTTTTGGGTCTGTTGAAAACAAACCATTTCTACAAAGTTAAATCAAAAGTTTACTCATTTTACATTATAACAGAGCATTTTTAAGTATTTTTCGTCAGGAATGCTGTATTCTATTTGCTAAGTTGTTCCTTCTTAATAGGAATGAGGACGTTAAACTGCAGTTAAAAAGTGTATGGTTATATCTAAATTTCATTTAGTTAGTATGTCAAACACAAAGGATTGCCTTCATAAACAAAATGATTTAGACAATTTGCACATTAGCATCTCTCCCTATTACAAAGAAATACTTAAATCAAATGCAGGCAGTTTTCATCCACTTGTGTTATGCTGTGTCACATCCATTATCACTGTAATTATATCCTTTCCATTCCTGACTGCCATATTCATTAGGTTATAGTCACTGTTCTTTCTCTAGATGATTTCACAGGAGCACATTCTTACCAATATGTGCAAAAATGAAATTCATAACACTAATGAGTTATACAAGCATGTTAAATAAAATAATAATTTAGGAGTAAGTAATGAGACTTTATTTTTTCCCCTCCTACTAGAGAACAGGTATTTTTATTGTAAACAAAGATTTGCCAAATGATCACCTTTATGGATCCACACTGGGGAAAGTGGGTTCAGCCTATTTAAATTTAACCTGGTCTCTAGGATGTGTAGTGGGAAAACTGAATTATGCTCAAGCTCTTAGCGTAACTTTAGGCCTTCCCGGAACTAAGCAATTAAATTATACAGACTGGGAAAAGTGAGTGCTGTGATTGGTATGGTGGGCCAATCAGGTACAGCAGTTTTCCTAAAAGGAAAGGAAACCAAAAACGGAACAGGGTTGGAGTACCTTATCTAAAAAGATGAGGTAAGAAACTTAAAGATTTGATAGTTTGAGATGAGAAAGTTACAAATGTAGTGGACAAACAAAGAGACCGTGTGTGTTTGTGTTGTCACCTGGGGAGACGGGAGCAACTTTGGAATGCTTGTTCTGAATAACGAGGAATCCAGAAACTAACATCCCACACACCTAGCAGAGGATCTGAGGCCAGTACCACCCAAGGTCAGTGTTGTAATGTCTGAAGGAACTGCTTGCCATGTCGTATTATGAGGAGGAAACTTGTAATAAAGCTTACAGGTTACTATTAAAGTTCACTTGGTACCAAATCAGACAAGGGGCCTTGTCAATCCTTGGGAGTCTCTGGTAAAAGGAATCCTGGGACAACAGGATGAAGGTTTCATGGAAGCAAGAGTATAAACCAACCTCTTAAAATTAGTCTCTCTCATCTAAAATATATAGAGAACAGCCACTGCTCTGCAAAACTATTCTGTTACCCCACAGTCCAAGATCAATCCACCTTCTTCATCCAGAATCTCTGGATAACCTTGATCTCAGTTCTTATTTGGAGACATCATGAAAGACTACTGGCTATAGGGGAGCAAATCAGCCAGATCCTTACTATCCTCTGACACAGCAGAAAATAATCCCCACCTCTTATACAAATCGTTGCACATTTTTAAACTTAAGGAAATGCCAGAAACTGAACCTTAATGTTAACTTATTAAAAAAGAAGGGTGCATGACAGTCGGTTCAATATGGCAATCTGACGCTGCAAGAGAGTATAAGATTGCTATTAAGATTTTTCATTAAGATGCAAATATTATTTAAAATGCATACTGCTTTTTGGGAGATCAAAGTGAAAGCCTTGTGGGGAGCTAGTATATGATGGTAATATGAAGATGGTAAGGAATGTCAGATACCTTTCCCTAAACTATTATCCTTCCTCTTAAAGATCTGGATTAGTGGGGTATATCTTCATACGACTTCCACCAAATGAAATTTTTATTTTGTCAGTACATAAATAAGATAGGGATGTAAATATAATTTAAAAATACTTGTTTAACTCCCCCCAATTATACTGATTAAACAATTAACTGATAACACAGCAGCTCAGACACATCTGCTGTTGGGAGCCACTCCCAGCTCCCGGAGTCCTTTGACTGGCAGGAGGGTGGGGAGAAGGCAAGCCCAGCCAGACAACACAGTCCACATGAAGCTCTTCACTGGGAGTGAGGGAACACCTGTGAATGGTTTTCTGTTTTTTTCTGTTAAAAAAAGTCAAAAATCCTCTGATAAAAAATCCAAAAATGTCTGATTAAAACCCACTAAAATACATGTTTTTCCGTGATTAAAATGAAATGCGACTATTTATTACAGGCATCAGTTGAACACAATGTTTTATTGAAATATTTACAATTTTAAACCAATTTGGAAACCTACCAGTACTTCAATCGTTATAATAAAATAAATTCTAAATACCTATGTATTTTGGTGTTTGACTCTTTTTTTTTTATCATAGAAACTCAGAGCTCCCCCTACCCGCTTCACTCACCAGGACTTGGGTCCAGCTGCGCCTGTCCCCCACACTGCTTTGTGGCACTAAGCACCTGTGCCCTGGTATGTTGGCACCCTGCCCCTGCCATTGACCCTCACTCCCAACCCACAGGCCCCATGCCCAGCCCTGCTGGTGCCCTTTACTCCTGACCCACAGGCCCTTGGTCCTGCCAGTGCCTCTCAACTCCTGATCCACAGTCCCCACCTCCCCCCATGGTGCCCCTCACTCCTCACCTGTATCCCCTGGCCCTGCTGGTGCTCCTCACTCCCAACCCACTGCCCTCTGCCCCAGGCCCCAGCCCCACAGTGTGGGAAAATGGGAGTGTGTGGGGAACAGGGGGTGTGTGGGTATAGCCAATGCCATAGGCGATGCGTTTGGGGCACGCGGGCATGTGCCCCCACAGATTCCTGCACCCACAGGAGGGCATGGAGCTGCAGCTTAGCCAGACTGGCACTGGGCAGAAGCTGCCTCCATGGCCTAGCAGGCAGGACCCAGTATGGGAGGCAGCATTGTACTGCCATGGCTGCCAAAGTGAGGTGCCCCCTGTCCACCCGGCAGCAGCAGGGGGACCCAAACCCCCATTGCTGCCACCATCAGGATTCCCATGCTGCCACACCACTGTGGGCACCAAGGTGCGGCACTGTGGGAGCAGTGTGGAGTTGTTCCCCCTTGCTGATGCTGGGTCGGTAGGGGACAACTCACCTTGGCGGCCATGGTGGTGCGGTAGTCCTGGCGGTGGTTGCAGCACTGAGCCTCCCCGCCCTGCTCTGCCCTCTCACTCCGGGTCCTACCTGCTGGGCTGCGGAAGTGGCTTCTGTCCAGGGCTGGAGCAGCTAGGCTGCAGCCTTGGGCCCTACTGTGGGCACAGAAATCTGGGGGGGTGGGAAATGGAAAACCCGGATTCCTGGTCATTAGGCTTCTCTCCGTTTTCCTCGTAAGCTATGAGTACTAGTCCCCTTGGCTAGTTAAGGTTAATTGTTTAACCTTTCATATGCCTAGTTTAAAGTGTAAATTGATACATAACAGTCATTAAAGATTCTGCAAATAGAATGCATTTTTTCTCGCTTAGGTCAAAGAAGAATCCAGCTCCATTGGCCACCGCAGCAGGGGGTCTATAGCTGACAGAAAAGTCAATGTAAAGAAAATATATTTTTATCAGTAAAACATATAGGATTTGAAATATGCAGCAGCAGCAAATCTGTGGAAAAGGTTATTTTACATGGACCCCTTTTCTGCATATAAACACAACACAAGAAAAATAGAGAAAACAAAAATCTGCTTTCAAATACCATACTGCCAGTCCTAGAGAGCTGCTGTTCAAAAGACAGCGTGCTTGTGATGTTTCACACATGCTGCATTCAACTTAATGAAGAATTATAAGCATTTCAGGGAATTCAAATTTCAATCTTTTCTAAAATACTGATATTCAGTCAAAAAGCCAAAACAGCATTCTGAAACATTGTTCTGATATTTTATAAAAAAGGAGAGACAGTGATACATACATGACGGTGTTAATCCCTGACAGCTGTTGGAACATCTGCAGGCCACAACCCACAATTAAAGCTCTTCGAGTTGGGGGGTAATTCAGCATTCTGCAGATCACAGGTCCAGCTTGAAAAACAGAAAAATACAAAACTTGCTGTTAACCTACCTTGAAATCCATCCCATTGCAACCCATTTATGCTTTGATCTCAGCCAAACTTAGAGCATTTTATATACTTGATCTAGCTGTTTTCTTTCAGCATTCTAATAAACATAAGATTTTCAAGGAAATCAGCCCCAAATGTCAACCTTTTCTAAAAACAACTTCTTACCATCTCATTAATCCTATACCTTCTAAACAATCTTGTGCCTTATAACTTCCACTGCTGTGAACCTGGATCATTTGGCTAAAGGGGTGTGCTTTTTAAAAAATTTTATCACTATATATATTCATTCTTCGTTCCCTTCCTAAAACCACCATCCTGCCATTAAGAACTTTCTTCAGAAAACTCTGTAGCTACTGTTCATACAGTTCCTTCAGACAAAATATACTCCAAATTGGCACTGATTTTATTTGTACAACAGTTGCTGATAACAATGCTTTTAGGAAGTAGATGAATTAACGTTCTGCAGTGGCATGGCCAGCAGAGGGAGCACAAGTTAATTGACAAAACTTTTCCTACACCTAGTGATAATATCAGCAAGCAAAGAGTCCAACTAAGGTTTTCTCCAGGATGACAGAAACACTTTCACCAAATAGAAAATATTTCCCTTCATTTTTAATATTAAGTGTCTTATAAACAGCAAGTCAAAGAAAACTACAATGTGAAAAACTAAAGTATAAAATGTTGATTCCATTAGTTAAGGAAAATATACGCAAGTCCATGAAACCATTATATTGAATATGTTCTGATCATAAAATTTTATATTTTAAACACACACATATGCATGATATATATAAGAAAAGCTGTTACCTGTCTGTCTGTCCATAATGCTTTATTCGCACTCTGACTGGCTGACAGAAACAACCAGAGCACAAATACAGCATTTGGACAGGAGGTGGCGGCACGGTGGAATACCACCATGATGGTGGGGACACTCCTACTCCCTGGAGGCGGTGGCAATGGAATGGAACAGAGCTGGCCGGCCCCCCCCCCCCTTGTTCCTTAAAAGGTAGCAGCGCTGGGGCGGGGGGAAGCGAAGTTGGGATGCCATGGTGGGGGGCCAAGGCCAGCACTGCTGGCCTTACCCCCTCTCTCCCACAACTGCTCCCTCCTGACTTGGGGCAAGGATGGGGAGCAGCAGACTCGGGCTGACGCGGCAGTGGCAGAGGGGAAGGGAGGAGCCAGCCCAAGCTGAGGAGAAGCTAGCCTGCCACAGCTGTGGGTGCTGGGGAGCAGCAGACCTGGGCTGATGTGGGGGGGGGGAAGGGGAATGGTAGGGGCAGGCCCA